AATTTCTGTGTCACATTTTCATCGTCTTTTATAACACTATTATAACACTTTTATAACACTTTTTATAACACTTTCAAACACTTCTCAGCTATAAAAATTTCTGTACATGCTTTAATTTGAAGATAAGTACATGAAACAGATTGATAAATAATTTTCTAATTTAGTATGACCTTTTAGGCTGTTATTTTTGTCTAAATTATATATATATAATATAGATATAAAATTTATTAGATCTGACGTGCTTTGACCTCTCGGCTACGGAGCGCGTCGATGGCCAAGTAAACACAGAATAGTGTCTTTAAACACAGATTTTTCCTTGACTCTTGAAATAGACATACCTGCTCCGTTTCGTATCCTAATGTAGACAAAGCAATTTTTAAATAAAGGAATGGATTTTTTTTTTATTCCGACAGATTTTTATTAATTAAACTTTTTTTAGTGGATACTCGTATTTGAGAAGACGCTCCGTTAATTTATAAAACAGAATATATTTTCGTCCTGAATATTCAAGTAATCTTATCCCGTTTAATCAATAAACGGGACGTCTACTCAAACACGAGTATCCACTAAAGGTAACGTTTAAGTTATAAAAATAATAAATAAACAAATAATAGATAAATCCATTTCTTTAAAAATGGCATTTTTCACGTTAGGATGCGTTTATTTGTAGGGTCGAGAAAAAATTTGTGGTTAAAGGTTCTATATAAAATTTAGGTAATAATATTATATATATTATATGTGTGTGTATATGTGTGTGTGTGTGTTTGTGAAAGATAATACACATCAAATGTGGTGTTATCGTTAAATACTTACTTTATTTATTTTCAGTTGAATTAATATCCTTATCTTTGTTGCTACCATCACAACCTTTCGGTCGTTATACCCTTTGTCCTTCTTCAGTTGTTTATCGATACGCGTACTAAGTATCACTAAAAGAACAAGGCACGATATATCTAAACATGGACGGTTGAACAAGAACAGTTTACCCTGTAAATTAAATAAATTCAAGATTTTTAAGGTTACCCGGATCGACAGACCCATGAAGAAATGACGGAACTTCGCATCTTAGACATTCGAAATATCTAAAAGCTAGCTCATCTGTACTGTCAAAAAATGTAACATTTCCATATTTTTTATTTAAGATGTTGTTCGTCTTTCTTTCATTTTATTTGACCCTGTTTCATTTTATTTTTATAAGAAATATATAATAAGGAAGTGCTGAAAAGATCTCGGACCAACCCATTTGCCAAAATAAATCAATGACTAAACGGATTCTTTTTGGGAAGAGCGTCCTTGCTGAGATGTGAACATATAATTAATTTTTTCTCTCGTCATGAAAAAAGATTGCATGTTTTAGTAATTTTAAAAATGTGTATTCTATTTTTTTAATATTAAAGATTTTATGTTTTTATGTTGAATACTTCCTGAATATTAAATTAAAAATAAAAATAAATAAAAATTGTTGATTTTTTTTTTGTTGTACCCGGTTGTACCCGCTTGCTATAAAAGAAAACAGTTATAATAATGAAATTAATATATGACAAACTCAATGAATCCAAAAAATATATTGTCCAACCAACTAAATCTATCACATCTACAATTGAAAAGAACTTATCTAAACTCAACATAATTTTTTTTTTACTACTAAATCTTAAACAATAAAATACTTAGTCAATACTAAACAAAACAACAAGCTAAAACTCGAAGGAGGAATTTACTCGATCGCCATTAATTACCACAAAAAACACATAGGAGAAACCTCAAGGAATCTAAATAAAAGATTATATAAACAAAATGTGACATTTGACAAAACAATGCATCAAATGCGTTGGTTGCCCACTGTAACGAGATTGAGGACAATTTTGACATAAAAAATACTACTGCGATTAAAGAAGAAAACAATTCACTACGACGAAAATGTCTAGATCGTGTCTTGATCGTAAGGTCATCTACAGTAAATTTGCATCCGGGCTTTTACAACATTTTACCATTCCTGGAAGAACTTCTATTATAACCGTGTGGGATATCTAATAACAAAAGTGATAGAAACGAAAAGAAAAAGGAAAAGAATTTAAATGAAATCGTCTAGATTATTAAAAAAAATTATAAGGACGCATCACATTAAAAACTTTTTCCATACATTTTTCCTCAATATATATCTTCATTTCGCATTGAATGATATACACATATTATGTCTATTTATTTTTATAATAAACCTTTCTATTTCTCTAATCAGTTTCTTGATGTTAAGATGAAATTCATCATGGGAAAAATATCTACAAATAACCACATGCGTATCCACAATTATTCCTGTTCAGTAGACTCTAGAATAATTTGAAACATAAACATTACCATGTACTCAATAAGTGTTAGGATAATATAATAGACCTTACTAACCATAATGCACCATTGACCAGCATATATAAATAGTGGGAGCCAAAACACAGCACACATGGCCTGAAGATTGCGTTCAAGCATGAAAATTACTATCATAACTGGGTATTGACCTCAATGTCTAATATATATATATATATATATATATATATATATATATATATATATATATATATATATATATAAAAAAAAAGCAAACACTAATATTAGTGTTTAAGCATTTTTATTACTCTGTCCTGGACATTGAGTTCTACCTGGATTCTATCCTCTTGGAATTTTTATTAAAAAAAAAATACATGTATGTACATGCACCTATGTGTATATATATTTATTTATATATGTGTATATATATATATATTTATATATTTTGTATATGTATGTATATTTACCTAATATTATATATATATATGTGTGTGTGTGTGTGTGTGTGTATTTACCACTAATATATATATATATATATATATATATATATATATATATATATATATATATATATAATATATAATATGGTTAGGTTAGTAAATGAAATCACTCGATATTAATAACCGTATACTCGTGTTCTGGCGTGCATACACAGGTAAGCAAATAAATAATTGCCAAATTTTGCCAAGACGTGTAGACATAATAATGCTCGATGTGGTTAGACAGAGCTAAGAAATATATATTAATAAATATACATATACCTACGTTTGGTGTGCAACTTAAGTTTCGTTGGTTATCCAACTAGTTGGGCACACGATATAGCTTATAGTTTATTTTTAAAATATGCAGATGTTCATGGGAAGGAGGCTGATATATATATATATATATATATATATATATATATATATATATATATATATATATATTATTCTGTTTATACGCTATTTTTATAGATACAATGTATTTAAGTAATTGCTCTGTTTTTAATTAAACAGTATTAATTACATTTACCGAGCTGAATGTTCGAGAAATAATTGTCGGACTTAATCCATTTATTATATATATATATATATTTAAGCATTTCACCCCAAGCAAGGCGGCATGCCACTAGCACGCAAAGGGGTTACAGATAGTGGGAGCAAGAGTAAAGAGGCGTGATAGAGGAAAGGATGAATAAAAGAACAGGGAATAGATCATGTTGTCATTGTTTACGTTAAGATACGTTTCGTGGGCAGAAATGATCGATCAAGAAAAATCGTTGAAGAGTGTGTCTTTATAAACAGTAATTCGGACTTTGCTAACCAGACGCTTCTCTATAACTGAATGGTACAGCACTTCAGGTCAAATGACGGTTTAGGAATACAGGTTTGGTTCCTGTCGGAGAACGCATATTTTCTACGAAATTTTTCGAACATTCAGATCGGTAAATGTAATTAATATTGTTTATTTAAAAAAAATATCAAAGCATTTACTTAAATACATTGTATATATAAAAATAAAGTATAAACAGAAAATATATTAAATAATTGTCGGACTTAATCCATTTCATTATTAATATATATATATATATATATATATATATATATATATGTGTGTGTGTGTGTGTGTGTGTGTGTGTGTGTGTATTTAGGCAGCAAACTTATTACATAAATTACAAACATTATGTTTGCTTATTTTTAGCAAAATCCGTTCATATTCAGAGATATTTTTCCATGTTACGATCAAATGATGCAAGAAATGCACAGTGAAAAAAAAAACAGTGCATTTCTTGCATCATTTGATTGTAACATGGAAAATATATCTGAATATGAACGGATTTTGCTAAAAAATAAGCAAACATAATGTTTGTAATTTATTTAATCATATATATATATATATATATATATATATGGAGCCACTTTCTGGAGTTCAAAGAATCGCTTAAAAATTTAAGGTTGCGTGCCTTTTTCAAAACTAATTTACTAGCTCACCTCGAACCAGAGGGACTTTCTCTTTCTAATCGTTTTTATAAATACAGTATAACCACTTTAATCCGACACCCTTGCGTCACATAAATCACCCCTAAAGAAACGTATGTAAATATAGTCTTGCCAGCTCATTACTCGTGTATCCTGCTGCAGTATCAAAGGTAGAACAGAATGGTGTTGAGCGGCCTCTGACTGCGCACGCCTTCTGTCGAACTCTCTGCTAACGCAGAGAGGAACCCGGACGAGGCTTTGCCGAAGGGCAAGGTTTCGTCCGGGGAGGTAGACAGGGCCTGAACCCGTCTAGGCGGGTTCAAAGGCTATATTTTTGGCCGGGCCTACGGGCTCGGGGATACCCACATTAAAACCGGCCTTGTGCCATATTCGGTCCTCGTGGGTGGAACGATAAATACTGTATCAAAGGTAGAACAAAGTTTAAAACAATCATTCAAACAAGAATCTTATTGTTTCATGTAATATAAAGGCTAAAACATCTAGCATCACTATTTCATAATCAACCTATGAACCCTTCAGCCTTACCTCGTAGTTTTAAACTTAAAAACACAATTTTCCATGAATAACTTGTGGTTAAATCTTATTTTATTTTATCTTTTCCAGATATTAATGAATGTAAACTGGCAAATGGCGGCTGTCAGCATAATTGTGTCAACACAGTGGGCGGTTTTAACTGCACTTGTAGAGATGGCTACCATATAATCGATGGTGGGAAATGCTCAGGTGAGTTTTACTACATAACGGAGGGTACAAAATGTTAATAATCTATACAATTAATTAATCTTCTGCTTGTTTGTATATGTGGCTGTTACACTTCTTCTTTTTATCTATGATTAAAGTGTAGTATTTGCTTGATCAACAAATCTTTTAAGACCAAATCAGGGTAATTCACAAAAACACTTCTACGGAAGCACTTTTATTAGGAAAGAAAAATACCCAGAGAAGTGTTAACATTTGTTTTTTTATTAACGAGAGAAAAAAGGAGGGTTGGTTGGTAGATTTGGTTAATGGTATATCAACATCCTTATGGGTCATTTAATGCTGAAATTTGATTTTCTTGGGAGCTTTGAAGTAAGAAAAATATGATATATGTTATTCTGCTTTCACAATTGAATACATGGTAGATGATACACAGCTTTTGTGTATTTGCAGGTTTGTGTGGATATGATTACTAGAGGTGATGATATACTCGTTTTATGTTGTATTTTTTATATTAAGTAGTTTTTTATTCAGTTATAATTTGTAATACAGTTTTATTTAACAAATTGTAGGATATTATATAGATTAATGTCATGAGAGAGTTCATTCATGCTGGTTGTTTTATTTTGTTTAGCGGCATATCAACCACTATGGGTCATTTGAAAACAATTTTATGGCTTCAAGTAAACATATTTTGAATGCAATTACTTGCATGGCCGCAACTACAGATAAAATTTATTACTGATCATTTTACTATATGGATTGTTGGCCTTTTTATATGAAATGTATTGCTGTTATTTTTACTATTAAAATGTATTTTTATACTTTCATAGTGTTTTTGTTTAGGAGGTTCACTATTTGCCCATAGCTGGGACCCTAACAGATGCTACTACCCTCAGGGAAAACGCGTAAAAGGATTGGAAATTAAGAAAGCTAGAGAAAAACGAAAAAAAAACCCAAAAAACAAACAAACAAAAAAAAAAAAACAGGCGAAATTTTAAAAAAATATCTATGCATAGTGAGATAAGGAAAATTTTGTGATGTGGGGTCTAGCAAGACACAACACTTAACTCGGCCGAGTCAGTCGTGATAGCAGTATTTAATAGGTAGCTAGATACGTCACTGCAATAGTATTATCTTCCTAGAATTACCCACGACTACTTATGAATGGATCAATCCATTCATGATAGTAAGCACGGTAACTGGCTCTTACCACAACATAATGAATAAAGAAAAAGGGCAAAATTTTAACCTTCATACCCGCAAAAAATAGTATGTTACAAAAGCGGTTTTTCCTTTGACACCGCTATTATTGTATACTTCCTCGGCAATTTTTATTGTTTTAAATAGCTATTATTATAATTTAAATAAAAGCCAAACATGGAAAATCCTAAAAATTTAAACCAATAAAAATGGCTGAAGGAGTATACAGTAATAGCGATGTTAAGGGAAAAATGTCCTTTTGACACCGTTTTTATTTTATTTATTTATTTTATTATCTGTTAAAATTTACCATAAGAGAAAGACACAAAGATAGCGGCTTCATCGCTGGATATCAAGACGCGCGACCAGTGTAAAATTAAAAGACGGACAGAGATGGAAAGTCGTAAAACTTGCAACACATTAAAATCCTTCACAGAAAGACAGACCGAAATAAACGCAAAAGAGGAGGCACTAGAAAAACTATTTGTGCATCTGTATGTTTCATAAAATAAATTAATCCTTATGCGTAAAGCATTAAAAAAAATATTGTAACGATTAGCGAAGATCAGAAAGGATAAGGGAGTGAATGAGAAGATACAGATAAAGGATGAGATAAGAGCAAAATTATGAGGGAGTGGATAATATTGTCAACACCTTGAGCGGATTCTGTTCAGTGCCTCTTGATTCCTTGGGGAACATAGGGCCGCAACAACACCTCTGCAACGGACGTGGTTCCGGGCGATCCTCTTCAGCTCGGTCCATATCGTGCCGGCTGCCCTCACCGCTGAGTCAACACTTCTGTACCAAGTCTGTTTTGATTGACCCACTTTTCGCTTCCCTTGTGGATTCCAAGGGGCTGTCTGGTGAAACTAGAAGCAGGCTTGCGGTATGTGTGGCTGATCCATCCCCATTTCCGTTTCTTGATGTCAATCTCGATTAGAGATTGTTTGATTCTGTCCCACAGTTGGTCGTTGGAGACGACTTCCGGTCATCCGATATTGAGGATGTTCCTGAGACATCGGTTGGTAAATGTCCGAAGTTTGTGGGTGTTGGTATTGGTTATCCGCCAGGTTTCCCTGACCGCATTTGCGGGAGGTAATGATGAATGAGGCTAATCTGGTTGAACATTATTTCATAGTGAGTTCGATTCTCACTGGGCGCCTTACACTTGTGACTAAGCTGACTCTCTCTCCCTCCCTCCCTCTCTCTCTCTCTCTCTCTCTCTCTCTATCTATCTATCTATCTATCTATGTCCTGGATATGAAGATAATCTATATCCGACAGCAAGGCTTTTGATCGGGAGATTGGCGATTTTGAGGACCGTGGAACCACCTTTTAACTACTGTTGTTCCCAGATCTACCCGTATTCCAGGTTTTAGCACCTGTTAGGTCCCAGCTATGGGCAAATAGTAAACCCCAAAACAAAAATCAACATTTTTATAATAAAATGAGCAGCAATACATTTTATAGTAAAATGTCAATTAATGCAACACAAAAAATATAAAAATACATTTTTTATAGTGAAATTACCAAAGATACAATTTATGATCAACAAACGATATATCTGAAAAAATACCTTTAAAAATATAAAATTATGCACAAAATATCTATAGTTGAAAGAATAAAATTACGTACAAAATATTTAGATTTCGGCATTAAACAACTCATGGAGGCTGATATGACGCAAAACAAAATCAACCAAATCTATCTATGTATCTATCTATCTCAGTCTGTTCATTATCTATCTATCTATCTATCTATCTATCTATCTATCTATCTATCTCAGTCTGTTCATTATCTATCTATCTATCTATCTATCTCAGTCTGTTCATTATCTATCTATCTATCTATCTATCTATCTATCTATAGAAATAAAACTCGATATCACCGGTGTCTAAGAGAAACAAAAATTCTAAAACACTTTTCTAACGCTAAAAGTTAAAGTTAAGGCGGACGTTGACAACATTATTCACTATACCATACTTTTGTTCTTGTCTCTTCCTTTGTCTGTATCTTCTCATTCTCTCCCTTGTCCTTTCCGAAATTGCTGTGATAACAACAACAAAGATGAGGACAATAGTCTAAAGGTAAATAGTGAAAGAGATTATGTTGAAAAATATCTTTGTAAAAAGATGCTTTTATCTTCATTAATCTGCCGAATTATTTATATACCTTGATAATCTCCTTCCTTGTCAATACACTTAATTTAGTGGTGCATATGTTCAAAAATAGATACTCGCTGTGTAAAATAAATGCATTTTTCGTCACGAGGTTGTCAAATTATTGATGTATCTACCTATTCACCACTGTGTTAACTGCATTGACAAAAAATGAGATTATGTTTAAAAACATTAGTTGTGTAAAATAATTTTTTTTTATCCTTAAGCGTGGGAATTATTAATATACTTATATATTCACCAGTGAATTAAGTGCATTGACAAAGAAAGATAATATGCTGAAAAATTAATATTTCTTGTAAAAAATAAATGCTTCCTTTATCATTAGGTTAGGGGTTTATTCATGAACCTTCATATAAGTTCAAATTGTCTGTCGTCCACTAAATGTTCTCTGGTTGTCAACTATCTTAAAATGATGCTCGAGAGTTTTCTGTTGTAATGCATTTAAAATGACAGGCGACAAAAATGATTTTCTTCTTTTTTTTTTTTTTTTTAGATATAGATGAATGTTGGGTGAACAATGGGAACTGCAGTCAGGTGTGTATTAACACACCTGGAACGCAACATTGCCAATGTCACGCTGGATATCATTTACTACCCGACATGAGAACGTGCGAAGGTCAGTAAATATGGGTTATATATATATATTACTACTCATTTCGTAAAAAAAAGCTCTCCACACCATATTTAGTTATTCCCCTTAAACAGTGTCAGCGGTCACGCACTGACGCAGCTTTCCTCACTCCAAATATAACACATTTAACTTTCAGATGAACACAACAATTTTGTCTTTAACAATGAACATTTCAATATTTATCTTGTAATAAACAATACCCCGATGATGACATTGTGCTATGTCGAAAGTACTCGGAAATAAAAGAAATATGTATCAACATGGCGATTTCTAATAATGACACCAAAAAGCTTATCCGCGAATATGAAAGGATCCTATCGAAAATAAATAGACAGAACATGTCTAAACTATTCAACAAAACATGTCTCAATATATATATATATATATATATATATATATATGTGTGTGTGTGTGTATGTGTGTGTGTGTGTGTGAGTGTATTCTGATGAAGAGGGCAGGCAGTAGAATTAAATCGGAGATAAGACAAGATCAGGGCGGATTCTTTAAATAGACTGAGACAAATAATGCGATATTTATATTTGGATTGATTTCCGAAAGAGTAATAAAAATGCAGAAGGATGTGTACCTGTGTTTTAGGGAATATGTAAAAGTGTTTGATTAAATATATCACAAAGATCCTTAGAACTGATAGATAAGCTTGATATAATTGGGATGAAGATTAGTATAATCTAGATAATATATTGGTAGCAAATAACCTACAAACAGATGGAAAATGAATTCAATATATATACAAAAACAGATATGTGTGTAAGGCAAGGATGTGTCTGCTCACCGGACATACTCAACGTATACAATGAAGCGATTCTGAGAAATTTTGAAGTTCAACCAAGAATCATAATTGACTGCCAAATCTTAACAACGTAAGATATGTAGATGACACAGTGTTGGTAATATATACTAAAAAAAAAAACTACAAGATCTCCTACAGAAATTAATGAAGGAAAGCGAGAAGAAAGGACTAAACATCAATCGCAAGATAACGGGATGCATGGTTCTCAGCAAAAGGAACAACCCAAAATGCAAATTACAAGCTAGAGATACCAAAATCAATCAAGTACAACAATTTAAATATCTGGGAAGTATTTTAATAGAGGACGGAAAGTGTGACACTGAAATCCGAAGGCGGTTTATTGGGATAACCAAGGAAGCACTCTAAAATCTAAGCAGAGTACTAAGAAATATAAAAAAAAATCGCTAGAAACAGAAAAAAGTACTAAACTGTTACGTGGTATCTGTCCTCCTGTATAGCAGTGAGTGTTGGACAATCTCCAAAATGACGAAGAAGAGACTTGAAGCAACAGAAATGTGGTTCTACAGAAGTATACTGAGGATATCATAGACCGAATATGTGAGCAACGACGAAGTTTTAGAGAAAATGGAAACAAAAAGGCAACTAAAACTTAACATCAGGCAGAGATAGTTAAGATTTCTGGGACACACAACGTGGAAAGAGGGCTTGGAAAATCTGATACTCACGGAACAGATAGAGGACAAGAGGAAAACCATGCATATCTTAGTGATCTTGAGTAAATAGATGACGGAATGAGATATAACAGAAACACAAAGTTTATTAAGAGTTAAAAGAGACAGGAAGTTGTGGAGAGCCATGATCGCCTACGTCCTGTAGGGACACAACAAATAGAGAAGAAGAAGAGTACTGGCCTCAATGAATTTGTAGCTTGTATTTTCTGTATATTTTTTTTTACTTTTACAAATAGCCTATCGGTTTCATCTCTGGGTGTAGAGCCGTGTGCATAGCCATTAATTTGTTGGTCTATTGATATTTGAGTCCTCCTTTTGTCCAGCCTAGGAAGGATCCAGAATACCTCAAGATTTATATTTCCTTGGTGTTCATTTTTGTTTTATTACTACTTGTGCTTCTATTTTGTTTTTTAACAGACATTGACGAATGCAAGGTAAACAACGGCAATTGTTCCCATATCTGCAAGAACACTGAAGGTTCCTCTCTCTGCAAATGTCGACCTGGATATAAATTAGCTGATGATAAAACCAGCTGCTTAGGTAAGTAAACAAAAGACTTTTCAAGTTTATCAAAGAAGTGTTTTAATAGGGATGATTCTTACCAAAATATACTGATTAAGAGAATGTTTTTTTCTAATTTTTTGCCTTGTTGTGAAAAGATGGCGTTAAGTTCAGATGAAAAGTTTTAAAAATCACCGTATTCTTGTTTTTTTTTTTTAAAAGTAAATGTCCAATAAAAACGGTTAAACCAAATAAGATTAAAAAATCTTAATAAGATATCTGTAATTTGACATCCATATGTAATTTTACATTGATATAATATATAACTCTCTCTATATAATACTAAGTCTGTAATTGCGTGCGTGTTAGCGTGGAGCGTGCGTCCGGCGAATAATTATCTAAGTTAATTTGATTTAAAAAAAAACATTTTATGTGAATAAGATTTAAAAATACGAGTTCTTTATACAGTAAAATGTTTTATTTTAACTTTCTTCAGACAATTTTTTAATTAAAATATTTTCAAGTTAAAGACAGTCACAAAAAGATTCTGCTTTGCTGTTTCGTTCAGTTGTTTGTAGATAGTTTTAATTACTCTCCGGAAGTACATTTTATTTCTGTTGTAACCTAGGGAAGGTTACTGAATAGAATAATCACACGAAGGTTGGTAATGAACGATAATACTTAGGACAAGATTCGCCAGCAGTGCGTAGAAGAACTGTTAGAAGTGAGTCAAGTGATAACGAATTTCCAACTGCAGGATATCTACCAACCGCCACACCCAGTCAGATGTGGCACAAGGCCGAATTTAATGTGGTGTATCCGAGCCCGTAGGCTAGGCCAAAAATTCCCCGTAGACCCCATATAAAACGGGGTCGGGTAGCTGTTTCCCGAGACGAGACTCTGCCCTTCGACATAGCCTCGTCTGGGGATCCTCTCTGCTTCCAGGTAGAGAGTTTGACCAGCACAGCTGGAGACAAACCTCCAACTGCAAGCCAACATACAGTATTTACTACTGCATTTATGTGAATGGGGGCATACCCATTATTTTCCGTAGGTTATGTTACAACAATTTCATAAAACTTTCTTTCTCTAGGTCGGTAGATATTAATTTCAATGTTTAAAAACAAAAATAAACAGGCATGTCTACTGATACACGTATCCCCACTAAATATAAAGTCTGTGGTAACTGTACAATTCATATAATGGTAAAAGTAATATTATTTGGCATTCATTGACCGAACAGCAACAACTACTGTCGGTTGAGATGTATAAAATCTTTCTCTTAATTTTTCAGGAAAATAGATTTCTCAAGTTCACTAGCTGTTATCGCTCTTTACATTACTGAGAGGGGTTTGCTTCCTAGCCTTTTATTTGAAGTAGTGGAAAATGTTTAACATCTTATTATGTCATTATTTTCTCTTCGAATTACATGTGATATCCACTTTAGTTGTTGCTACTGTTGATAATCCTCAAGTGATGTGGTTTCTGTTATTTAATTCACAATGTTCAAAGAAGGATTGTCTGCACCAAAACCCACAGGCTTCACTCTTTCATCGCCATTTTTAATCATTGATCTTAGAAAGCGGTTGTATACAGCTATCAGTTTAGATATTTCTGAACAGGTTTGGCACCATGTATGACATCTACATTAAAAATTCGATCTGACGAGGCAATTTACGAATATGAATAAGCGTATTATAAACTAGACTACCCGTGACCCATTGGGTAACTGACGGTTCAGATTATAAAACCGTGAAGTTGATTTCGACATTCCATTGAAATGAAAGATAATTTTATTATGATTCAGTTAAATATTTCAATTCGTTCGTGCCATCATTGGTCTGGTCTACAAGTTTATATTCAACGTTTTACTGATTGTTTACAACATTTAATAGACATAGAACTTCCGATATAAAATTGAACTCCATTAACAGTATTTATTTATGACATGTGAACACTTGTACAGAATGCAAAAGGAATTGTTATATTACTGTATAAACAATACGTATTTTTAATGTTATTCACTTAAAATATTTTAAAATCAGATTAACTTAAAAATATTTTTAATATTCCAACAACTATTTTAAAATCATATTTACTTGAAAATATTTTGTAAATATGCCAAAAATATTTTTGAAATAATTAAAATATTGTTTGTTTAAAGAAAGCTGAAATATAAATAATTACTCTACAAACAACTGGACGAAACAGCAAAGCGGAATCTTTTTGTGTCTGTCTTTAACTTAAAATAGTTTAATTAAAAAATTGTCTGTCTGAGGAATGTTAAAATAAACCTTAACTTTTCCGTGTCATTGTTTAATTGGCGTCAAACTATTGATATTTTTGTTTATACTCGAGAAAGTTTGATGGCATTTTCTCATGGTTTTCATTTCGCTTGTAGATATAAATGAATGCCAAGACGAAAACGGTCGGTGTTCACAGTTGTGTGTCAACACAATTGGTTCCTATAACTGTAGCTGTAGAAGTGGATATGAATTGATGCCAGACAAACGAAACTGTTCCGGTAAGTCATACTGAATGATTTAAACCTAATACAATGAAACACACACACACACACACACACACACACACATATATATATATATATATATATATATATATATATATATATATATATATATATATATCGGGTGTAACAGTAAAATTGTCCAAATCGTGTAACAGCATAATTATCAATCCCACAAATTGTGTAATATCTAAAAAAAACGCCAAAATAATTGTTTCTTTTTTCCAGGTTCTCAGATAAGACGTTTAGCCAACTTGACACTATTTGTCATAAAAATCACTGAAAAAAGCCTTTGAGTTATTCAGCTAGAAAAAGAACAGGTTAAAATCGTTTTGTATCAGCCTCACTATATCTTCCCAACTGAGCAATGGTGTGAGAAAAAAGATCATTCAGGCCTTCAGTAATGGTACTAACATTCCTACTCTGGCTTCCATCTTTAAAGTTCATTCAAGAACCATCAAGAGAACGGTGAATAAGTTTAAAAAGAAGGGAACAGTAGAGAGGAAAACTGGTTCAGGAGGTCAAAACAGGAAGAGGGATCATCAATTCAACTTAGAGTTAAAGAGATCAATTAGAAAAGATCCAACTTAATCCATAAGACGTTTGGACGTGATAGAGGAATTTCAGCTAAGACAGTCCAAAGAGCAGTAAAATCAGACTTGAAAATGCAATCGTACGTGAAACTTGTGAAGCACTTTGTCACTTCAGGACAGGAGGTTAGACGGTTAAAGGGCGAAGATCATCTTGAATAAGTTTGAAAATGATTCTGGAATAATATATATATATATATATATATATATATATATATATATCAACTTTATTTCAATCTTTCGTGAACTTCCGATTCTTAGCTATGATTAATTAATGATGAATATGTCATTTTCGTTTATGACCGATTTCATCACGATTCTTCTGTTAAGCTTGGAGAGTAATTATACATTCTTATAGAATCCAATAGCGTTAGAAAAAAAACATTGGAAAATTCCAGTAAGATATCTTAAAGAGGAAAATTTCTCATGAGGACTTTCTCAAAATGAACCTTTCTTACAAATCAAAACATTTAATGTCTTACGGCCGCATCACGTTGAAACACCGGTTCCTGTACGGACACCGAAGTTAAGCAGCGTTGAGCCTGGTCATTACCTAGATGGGTGACCGCTTTCAAATACCAGTTGCTGCAAGCTTGTAAGTGTGGGTGATGTAAGGAATAATGGCTCGGAAATTTTTAATCAGAGAGACGAGTTCCAATTCCGATTGGTTTCGTTATATTCACTTCCGCGTACGAATTCAACTCTTCTCTGCCCCCCCACCCGAGTTATGGGTTAATTAATAAGATTTGTATCGCCTTATTATCTGCCCACCCCCGTTTCATGTTTTCATGATGCGAATTTTCAAAAATGTAGTCTTATAGTTAGGAAAATTGTTTTTCAAATACCATTAATTCTTATTCTTAAGGTTCTTAATATGACATCTTATATCCGAACACTTCACATTTGTCCATGCATTGAATATTGCTGCCACATCTGGTCTGGTGATTTTACTATATATCTAGAGATTCTTAAGAATATTCAAAGAAGAATCTGTAATGTTATCTGTCCTGACCTGGGATCTCTGCATCAGTCACTTTACCACCGACGTAAGGTAGCTTCTTTGTGCCTTTTCTATAAATATTTTCATAAAAATTGTTCCGATTAGCTCTCCTCATTGATATCATGAGGTATTATGGTGGATGTAGTAAGAAAGGTAAGTAAGAATGCAGTGTTTTGGTGTTAGGAATATTGTTTCTATGTTTGGGTTAGTGTTTGTGTCTAGCTGAGTTTAAAGTTAAGACAGATGAAGAGCGTCCTTTTCCCCATTTTGGACTTGTGCCACATTTTGTAAATATTACAAATAAATATCGATCTCCTCATCGGTATTTTGACTTCATAAATTTAAACGCAGTCCTAGATTCGTAACTAGGTCTCTTCATTTTAATGCTGAAATTCTTTCTTTTTATGTGCCACGTCCTTTCAGGGCGTAGGCGATCATGGCTCTCCACTTTCCCTATCCCTTATAGTTCTCAATATGTTTCTTCCCTCTAGCACCTCCTCTAGACTACGTTCTATTATCCACTTGCTCCGCCAGGTATGTCATGTGTTGCTTTCCTTTGTCTCTCTTTCCCTCTATTAGAGCTGTGAGTATCAGATTCCCCAAACCCTCCTTTCTCATTACGTGTCCCAGAAACTTCAGCTGCCTCTTCCTGGTGTTAAGTATAATCCTCGTCCTTGTTTGCATCCTCTCCAAGACCTCATCGTTGCTCACACGCTCGGTCTATGATATCCTTAGCATCCTTCTGTAGAATCACATCTCCGTCGCCTCGAGTCTTTTCTTCATCTTTTAGGAGACCGTCCAACATTCGCTGTTGAAATTACTAAGTATAATTACTAACTATATCATAAGTTCTATTCTGATGATTTCCTTTCAAGCTTTTCGTCTGTGAAACTCTCTTCTTACTTTCCTGTCAAATACTATCTCCAACATTTTAAATGTAATATAAATCGTTGTTTTCTGTCTGCTTGAAGTCTGTTCTTTTATTGTCCTTTCTCTTTCTTTCACGCTGAGTAAATCCTCCTGCTTTTGATTAGTAACTCTTTGCAGCTTTTATCGCCTTACCTAAGGTGAAATGGTTTAAAAAAATAATGTATTTTCTTTCTTTTTTTTTTCATTTCTGAAAATCAGTTATAAACATTTATTTTTTATGCTTTGCAGACAAAGACGAATGTAAAGAGAGGAACGCCGATTGCGACCATATTTGTACCAATACGGACGGTAGTTACTACTGCTCATGTCGGCCAGGATACAGCGTTTTGGATGACGGGACATCTTGTGCTGGTAAACACACATAATTTACATGAGAAAAATATATAAAAATGAAATAGCATTCATTTATATCTATGTATAGTTATAAAGAAAATCTTGTCTCATTGCTGTACGTGAGTCTCGTGTAATGTATAGGACCACAGACTCATCATGCTAGGCGATGATTGTGTCATTTCCGTAGCAAGTGGGTTTTAACGGGATGGATTTGCTAACCTACGTTCAACCAGTTTTGAATTCAAAGTTATTCTTCTGCTAGACTTGTAACGAAACCAAGGCTAGAGAGAGCAATCTACATTACTATTTAACCCATAGCGGGGTAAAGAAGTGATGGATTTATATCTGGCCGAAGATATTTTTTCGAAAGTAAGCGCAATAGACTATATCAGAATTTGAACTTGGTTCGACGGTTCCATTTTCTGTGCCAATAACAGTTACTCTACCCACATAGCCATGAAATTTATTTATGCCTTATCTTTTCAGGACGTAAGCGATCATGACTCTCTTTCTTTATTATTCATGAATTGTCATGCATTCTTGTGAAAGAGAGTGAAGAGGTTTGCCGTTGACTTCTCCACTGTTTGAAATTCATAGTTTTCCTTTTCTTAAACTAGTTGCCTTCCGGGGTTAGAGAGCCCAGTTTGCACTGATATTTAACCTTTATCTTATGGGGGAGAAGAGATGAATCCACTCCTTTCCCAAGAGCATTTGCCCGGAACTGAACACAGGAGGTTAGGTTGGAATTTGAACTCGGCACGCCAATCCAGTAATCACTACGCTACACGCACAACTCAGTGATAATACTGTAATAAAGCCATATCCGTTCCACTGTCAGAGTTTAATTTCAATTTTCATGTGTCTGTATTTCTTCTTTAATGTATATGCCGGCGTATCGGTATATAAGTTGATGCTCTAAAAAAAATTAAATAATAAATTTAGAAAATATATCAGATTCTTCGAACTTGACAGTATTATAGAAAAAACACTGCTTTCTATTGAGTAGTTGACTTAGCTAACGAATAAAGAACCATATTTTTATAACCCATTTTTCTAGCAAATACACACCAGAAGTTATACTTAATTGAATGTGGTATGTTCATAATACTATGGCGGCCATCTTGAGACGTCTTCACACCATCTCTGATCATTAGTAGCTTGTAAGTCTCACTTTTCTAAGATTCGTGTGTCATCTCCAAGCAGAAACCGTTCACAAACTTTTTGCTCTCGTTGGAGTAAATAAACCTACCCGACCTTATGGACTAGAAATTTAACACCTGTAATTTAGAGGTCGACGTATACACTGCTATATAATCTATACTGTTATTCTGTTTGTAAGTATGAACTATACGCTTTCATACCTAGGAACAGAGTGTAGTGTCTGTCATATTCCAAAGATCTTTTGAGCTGGAATCAATTACACTTTCTTACATCATAATTTTAAGCTGGAAGGAATTGGGCTGTGTGGAAACTGGAAAAAGATAGAGCATAAGAAATCTAGAGAATAAAAAAAACAAGAGAAAAACCAGATGAAAGGAACAGCGGTTTGATCTAAAAAGTATAAAAACTGTGATGCATTAAAATTATGTACAGATAGGTAGAGCTAAAGAAAGATAAAAGAAAGGATCCAGTTGAAAATATTCGTGAATTCCTTGCCATCCGGGTTTGTGTAATATTCATATAGAAACATGGAAGGCAGCAAAGATTAGACGGGATATAGGAGAGATTAGGAAGATACATAAACAAAGCTTGAAAGAAAAGCAGATTTGAGCTATTCTTTTTGCTGACAATCATATATTAATTTCTTACAATCGATGGTTGGTCCTTTCTTCTCTCTTTCCTTTACTGTTGCGTATCTTATGTCGTTAAAATTGTGCCCGCGGATAACACATCATCTTAGGTATGTCTCGAAAATGTTGAATAAGTCTGGTGAGAAGTCACACAATTTTCTTAAGTGCTATTTTTGTGCAGGTTGTTTGCTCCTAGTATATGTATATACATATATATATGAATTAAATTCTTTAAGGGACATAGGGTTGCAAGATATCGTTGGAGCTTCTATAGCAAGTCAGTTTTTTTTTAAGTGAGTAGGTTGTTAGGCTACTGTACCCGGAGGATCAGGTTTTGAATTCAGTGTCGTCCTTCTCCTAGACCAGTTGCCACCCAAGAACCTTGTCTTGCTATTTACCCATAGCTGATGGGGAGAAAAAGAGGATTCATATTAGCAAGTAAGTGAATGTAATAATTTCGAGTGGAATTTGAACTCGGCTCTCCGATTCCTCAATCCGAGCCACTATCCATTACTCTATCGTGCCTCCTATACTCCCAGTATACGTTCTGGTTTATACTAATATATTTCTCAAATAAGCTTTACTAACAGTTAAAACAGATCTTGCACCGTATCTTTGCAAAACTACATGGTAATCCGCCCTCGAGTCTAATGTACTTTTCCATCCTTCTCTGTTACGCTTCGATGCACTGATGGAAAGATTCTTTTTGGATGCCCTTCAGCTCCGTCGTTACGGCCCTCTTGATGGCCTCCACGCCTTCAAAACGGGTCCTCTTGATGATCCTCTTCAGCTTGGAAAAAAGAAGAAAGTCACACAGAGCAAAATCAAGTGAATAGGAAATGTTGTTCCAGTACGGCGATGTTCTTCTCGGTCATGAACTGCCAGATGCTCAGGGCGTTGTGAGCAGGTGCACGAAGCAGCCACGATTTGTATTGCCACAAAAGCACGTGAAAAGGAAATGGTTGCAGAGAGCTAAGATTACAGTTAAATACACCCAAGATATCATGTTAGATGATAACATAATCCGCTCTCTCATCCATAGCTCACACAGCACACCCAGTCTCTGTACTTTTCAGACAGGACCTCATTATGCATTTGTGTTGCTAGCACTGATATCATTCTGATCATAAATATCACCTTGTTACAGTGCTTTTATTGAAAAGACACTGTTCCTGCCCTACTTTGGACTAATTCTACTACGCTCTCTATTCATCAGAACTAGGATGATAAGTTTAGTTATGTGGCTCATTAATGGAGCTTGCATTAATTTACCTTTGGTTTCTTAGGCAACGCTACAGAAGTGGATCTACTAAAGTGTTCTGGTAGCTTAGATAACTTAGCTTAATCAGGAGTCATCATTGAACTCACTATACAACTGAATGGACAAAACAGTAGAGGTTTTTTTTATTTTTATTTTTATTTATCTATGCTCCGTACTTACGTGGCCGAGTGGTTAGAACGTTCGCATTCTGACCATGCGACATGGGTTCGAATCTCACCATGGTCGATTCGTCAGGAAGGAGACTTCCTGATGTTATC